CAACAAAATATATATATTCTTGATCAGCGTAAAATTCTAAGTTGATTTAGCCATGTCCGCGCTGTCTGTCTGTCCGTCTGTCTGTCTGTTGTAATCACGCTATCTTTCGAAGGAATTGAGATAGAAGGCTAAAATTTTGCACACGTGTTTATTTTCCCATTAGGCAGGTTAAGTTCGTAAATGGGCCATGTAGGTCCACGTTTTCATATAGCCCCCATATATAAGTATCTCCCGATATTCGGTACTTTGATGATTTTAGCGACATTATTCACCGGAATTATTTTAACTTTGGTATTTGCAGTTCGAAATGAATACAACAGCCTGAGACAGAAAATTGTCTGTACAGGTCCACGTCTTCGTATAGCCCCCATACAACGGTACCTCCCGATATTCGGTATTTTCATGATTTTAGCGACATTATTCATCGGAATTATTTCAACTTTGGTATTTGTAGTTCGAAATAGATACTACAGCCTATGACAGAAAATTGTCTGTGCAGGTCCACGTCTTCGTATAGTCCCCATATAACGGTACCTCCCGATATTCCGTATTTTGATGATTTTAGCGACATTATTCACCGGAATTGTTTCAAATTACGTATTTAGAGTTGGTAATGGAAACTATAGCCTATGATAGAAAATTGTCTATGGAGGTCCAGGTCTTCGTATAGGCCCCATATATAAGTACTTCCCTATATTCGGTATGTACAATACTCACCGAAATTGTTTGACATGTCGTATTTGAAGTTCGTAATGGATGCTCCAGCCTGTAAAAGAAAATTGTCTATGCAGGTCCAGGTCTGCGTATAGCTCCGATATAACGGTACCTCCCTATATTCGGTATTTTGACGATTTAAGGTACAATACTCACCGAAATTGTTGTATTTGAAGTTCGTAAGATGTCGTATTTGAAGTTCGTAAGATGTCGTATTTGAAGTTCGTAATGGATGCTCCAGCCTGTAAAAGAAAATTGTATATGCAGGTCCAGGTCTGCGTATAGCTCCGATATAACGGTACCTCCTTATGATTATTTTAGCTACATTATTCACTGTTTATTTCAAGTTTCGAATTTGAATATTATGGCAAACAAGGCCTATGTAGGTCCACGTCGTATAGACCTCAATATAAAGGCTATATTCGGTATTTTTAAAATTTTATCAGAATTTTTTAAGGATAGTTGTGAAATTTTCATATTTGATATTGAGGTATGTGTTGGTATCTGAAATTAAGATATTTTAGGTGGTTTCGAAAATCTGTGCTATAATTGTACGAAAAGTACGAAATGGTACAAAATTTGGTATTAAGTAAAGGAATAGGGCTGAAATTTGATAGAGATCTGGCTGTTTCTGTCTGTTGTTAAGAAATGGAGGTGGTTTTGGAAGTGTGTACTATAATTGTTCGAGAAGTGCCAAGTGGTACTAAAATGGGTATTTAGCGAAGGAAGATAAATAAATAGCTGAAATTCGAGATTTCCTTTACTGATGAGAGGGTGAGATTTGGCAGTGATTTGAAAATGTGTCCTAGTTTTGTACGAAAAGTGCTAATTGGTACTAAATTTTGTATTGGCTGAAGGAAAATGCCTGGAATCCTAAAATATGATATTGAGGTCTCTGTTGGTATCTGAAATTGAGATATGGAGGTGGTTTTTGGAAGTGTGCTATACTAAAATTGTTCGAAAAGTACTAAGTGGTACTAAAATGGGTATTGCGTGAAGGAAGAGAGATAAAATGCTGAAATGCGAGATTTAGATTACTGATGGTAACCGTGCTTAATATTTGGCAGTGGTTTGAAAATGTGTCCTAGTTTTGTATGAAAAGTACTTATTGGTACTAATATTTGTATTGGCTGAAGGAAAATGCCTGGAATCCTCAAATTTGATATTGAGTTCTCTTTTGGTATCTGAAATTGAGAAATGGGGGGGTTTTTGGAAGTGTGTTATACTAAAATTGTTCGAAAAGTACTAAATGGTAATATATTTGGTATTGGATGAAGGGATAGAGCTGAAATCCCAAAATTTGAAATATGATCGTTCGAAAAGTACTATGTGGTTCTAAATTGGGTATTGGGTGAAGGAATAGAACTGGAATCCCGAAAATCGATATGAATGTCACTGTTGGAGTGTGGTGGATGGAGAGATTTTGATTGTTGTGGATGTACCTACTAAATGGTACTAAATTTGGTACTGGGTAAAGGGTTAGAGCTGGAATTCTGGAATTGAGGTCACTGTTGGTCTCTAGAGTTTATATATATGGAGATTTTGAAATAGTTTTGTACAGAAAAAACTGGATATGGGTCCATTGTGGAATGACTTTACTTATATCCACCTCGGTAAACTTCAAAATGAAAGATTTTGAGGACTTTTTGGGTGAAAAAGGTAAAGAGGCGTGGATTTTTAAAAAAAATATTTTTTCAAGGATAGCAACAGAGGCATGGATTTTTAAAAAAAATATTTTTTCAAGGATAGCAACAGAGGCGTGGATTTTTAAAAAAAATATTTTTTCAAGGATAGCAACAGAGGCGTGGATTTTTAAAAAAAATATTTTTTCAAGGATAGCAACAGAGGCGTGGATTTTAAAAAAAAATATTTTTTCAAGGATAGCAACAGAGGCGTGGATTTTTAAAAAAAAAAATTTTTCAAGGTTAGCAACAGAGGCGTGGATTTTTAAAAAAAATATTTTTTCAAGGATAGCAACAGAGGCGTGGATTTTAAAAAAAATATTTTTTCAAGGATAGCAACAGAGGCGTGGATTTTTAAAAAAATATTTTTTCAAGGATAGCAACAGAGGCGTGGATTTTTTAAAAAAAATATTTTTTCAAGGATAGCAACAGAGGCGTGGATTTTTAAAAAAAATATTTTTTCAAGGATAGCAACAGAGGCGTGGATTTTTAAAAAAAATATTTTTTCAAGGATAGCAACAGAGGCGTGGATTTTTAAAAAAAATATTTTTTCAAGGATAGCAACAGAGGCGTGGATTTTTAAAAAAAATATTTTTTCAAGGATAGCAACAGAGGCGTGGATTTTTAAAAAAAATATTTTTTCAAGGATAGCAACAGAGGCGTGGATTTTTAAAAAAAATATTTTTTCAAGGATAGCAACAGAATAGTTTATTTTAATTTATTTTATTTTAAAACAACAACAAAATATTTTTTTAAACAGTTAAAAATGCGTGAATTTTTCAAAATATTTTTTCAAAGCAGTCAAAGGGGCGTGGATTTTTAAAAATATTTTTCAAAACAATTAAAGAGGCGTGGATTTTTAAAAATATTTTTTTCAAGGCAGTTAAGGAGGCATTGGTTTTATAAAAATATTTTTTCAAGGCAGTTAAAGAGGCGAAAATTTATAAAACCTTGGTTGTATGAAAATTTAGTTCGGTATGAAGTTTTGAATTCACAATTTTGTCAAACTGAACAAATTTTGCTTTTGGTAGTAAAAAGGTCTAACACGACCCTAAAAATTTAAGGTGAATATTTCGCTGACGAAGTAGCAGGCACTTGCTAGTCAAATGGTATATACCCTCTGTAGCCATATGCCTGAGGGTGTAAACAAAGGGACTCAGGTTTTTTGCCCTTATTTTAGCACCCTCAGGTATATGGCTTCAGATGGTATATACCATTTGACCAGCCTGCGAAAGCAGGAAAATATTCACCTTAAATTTTTAGGGTCGTGTTAGACCTTTTTACTACCAAAAAGCAAATTTTGTTCAGTTTGACAAAATTGTGAATTTAAAACTTCATACCGAACTGAATTTAAAAAAAAAAAAAAAATCCTAATGAATAAAAGTAAAATAAATTTAAAAGTAGAATTATGGAGGTCTCAAGTTTTAAAACTTACTTACCTTTAGTTTTCCGAAATATTTAAACAGCATTAAATTCTAATTTTTTAAATATTTGGTATTTCACTTTTATTTATTTATCTTCATTTTCGATTTTATTTGGTTGTTGTTGTTGTTTTGCGTTAAAACATGTAATAAATTATTAACTAGATACGATACGCTAAACGTTACATACAAATATAATAAACTAATTTCATAATAATTATATATTGATAATATATATAAATAAAGCGGAACTAAAACCATATGTTGTTTACTTCGGTTTTTTTTTTTGACAGATGATATTTTTTTTCGTGATAAGATATTTTTGTTTCCAATCTCTGGTATACTTAACTCCATGGGAGTAACTTGGATGTGATATTTGTTAAAAAAAGAAGAGAAAATCAAGAATTTAAAAATTATGTTGTTAAAAAAATTAAATTTAATATTAAAAAGGGGTTAAAAATATTGAAAATATTTTTTATTTGAATTTTTACGAATGTCACCATTTAAAAAATATTTACTTCTTTAATAAATTAATTCTGGATTTTTTATTTATGGACCTAATTATTGTTTTTACTTTTACAAAGAACTGTTTTTTTTTATTTTTTTTTTTGAAAAAAAAAAAAAAAAAATTAAATTATTTTTTGTTATGAAGACCTGTTGGGTCAATTCTTTGGCTATGAAATTGTGTAATGAAAAATTTCAAGCTGGAGGCCAGGGAGTCTCTATAGACGAGCTGGTGGGCCAGGGAGTCTCTATAGACGAGCTGGTGGGCCAGGGAGTCTCTATAGACGAGCTGGTGGGCCAGGGAGTCTCTATAGACGAGCTGGTGGGCCAGGGAGTCTCTATAGACGAGCTGGTGGGCCAGGGAGTCTCTATAGACGAGCTGGTGGGCCAGGGAGTCCCTATAGACGAGCTGGTGGGCCAGGGAGTCTCTATAGACGAGCTGGTGGGCCAGGGAGTCTCTATAGACGAGCTGGTGGGCCAGGGAGTCTCTATAGACGAGCTGGTGGGCCAGGGAGTCTCTATAGACGAGCTGGTGGGCCAGGGAGTCTCTATAGACGAGCTGGTGGGCCAGGGAGTCTCTATAGACGAGCTGGTGGGCCAGGGAGTCTCTATAGACGAGCTGGTGGGCCAGGGAGTCTCTATAGACGAGCTGGTGGGCCAGGAGTCTCTAGACGGTGGGCCAGGGAGTCTTTATAGACCAGCTGGAGGCCAGGGAGTCTCATTTAAATTCAATATACATTTTTTTTAAATTTGCTTTTTTTACATCAACCCATACACATACATACATTTTACTCTGCATTCATACTTATAAATTTCGATTATATTTCAAAAGTCTATGATATAAATGTCAAGCCTCATATTCTTCGGTAAAGTTGTCATATCACAATTTCGTAGAACAAGAATTGAGCCCCTATCTTATTTGTGCATCTTTGTCAATTTTTGTTTCAATAATTTCTTTAAAAAAAGGAAAAAAATAACCACAGTTCTTTGTTATGAGATTTTAAATGGGAATTACTTTTTCTTTTCTTTTTATAAATTTCTATTATTTCATTTTTTTCTTTAATCATATACTACGTGCAACATGGAAACTCTTCTTCTCTGGCTGGGATCAACTTGGAAATGGAAATTTAGCTGATCCCTTTATCAAAAAAAAAATCGTTGCACAAATTTGTTGTTATTACATTTTTCTTTCTCTCGTTCATAGTCTTCTTCTAATTATTTGTCTTTTCTTTTACTTAATGCTGGAGATCATTTTGTGTGGAAATATAGAGAGAGCGCGAGAGAGAGAGAGAGACAAAAATCTATATAAAGTTAAAAAATCATTATTAGTTTTGTTTTAGGTTCTATTACTAGTTAGATTACTGTCAGTTTAATTGTTTTATAATTGAGATTGTTGTTTATTTTGTTTTATTATTTGTTGTTATTTTTTGTTGTTGTAATTTCTGCTAAAATGAAAATTTGTTTTCTTTTTCTATTAAATTGTTATTAATTATTATTAATTATTATTATTTTTAATTTTTTCTTAAAATGTGGCACCTTTTTTGTTATAAAGCTACAGGGTTGTTGTGCTAACGTTTTTAGTCTGCAATGGGGTTCTTTATCCGTTTGTTACGAGGGTGAATGGGTAATATTTCATGACCAAGTCGTAGAGAAAAGTCCCACTTCAAGGGAGTTATTTTGAATTCGAAAAATGTAGTTTGGAAGGAAACCTTTAACTTTGTTAGCTATACCAAAGTCAGGTGTTTTTTGAAGCAATGAGTTAGGATTTAATGAGGGAAAATATAAATAGGCCTTGGTATGCCTATATCTACAAGAGAGGGTTTTTTTATCAACTCTACCATAAGAAAAACCAGTAAGGATAGGTCAAAAGCCTGGCGGGCCGACTATTTGAGACCCTGCAAAACTATGCGTATTTAGTAGAGCTCCCAAAACACAAAATGCTTATGTATGTGAAGTAGATCATACCAACAATGAATCTTATTTGAAGGGGTATCATGGTTTTAGAGTAGTCACAATTTGGGAACTGTATCCAAGTCTGAATCGATATTCAACAAATTTGACAGAGGATTTTGTACCTCTAGTATCAAATAACATTGAGGTATATTGCATGATATGACTTCGATAAGAATTACATTAAAAAAAATTTTTGAAGCAAAAGATATACCGGGTCGAGTTGCACCAAATGAAAAAAAAATTCGGTTGAATATAAAAAAAATCTGTCTATTGTAAAATCGGATGAAGATGTATATCGCAGGTATACAAAAATCTGAACCGATCACGATAAAATTTGGCAAAGCTTTTATGGCGCTGCATCTGATGTCTGGTATTAAATATCATGTTGTGAAGTGCATATTACAAATGGGAGGTACTTAAACACAAAATCGGATGAAAAATATATATGGAAGCTACTGTAGCTATATCTGAACTGATTTTCTCCAAATTTGATGTACATGCTTCTTCAGTCGGATAGGCCACAATTCACTCCATTTCGGCTGATATTAGCCATATGGTGCACGAAAAAAACTGAAATCGGATAAAGAGGGTTATATCAAAATCTGAATCGATCTTGACCCAATTTTAGGCACTTATTTCTGAGCTGTATCTGATATCTGGTACCAAAGATCATTGTTGTGGAGTGCATATTAGGTATGCAATCCAAATCGGATGAAACACATATATGGGAGCAATAGCTATATTTGAACCGATTTCCTCCAAATTTGGAAGTACTTGTTTTTATTGATGAATTCAGTTGGAATTGCCAAGATTCAGTTCATTTGGGATGATATTAGTCATTTGGCGCACATTAATCTTGATATCGGATAAAAATATAAAACAAAGGTATTTTTAGCTCCAAAGGTATTTTTAGCTCCAAAGGTATATATCATAAGTTATATGGTACCAAATATCATTCTTGTGGAGTGCATATTACGAATGTGAGGGACTTAAACACCAACTCGGATGAAACATATTTATGGGATCTATAGCTATATCTGAACCGATGTTCACCAAATTTGATGTACTTGCTTCTAAACTGAATTCGGTCGGATGTGCCAAAACTCAAGTCATTTGGACTGATATTGGCCAATTAACCCGAAATCGCTTGAAGATATATTTGGGAGCTATGTCTAAATTTGAACCGATTCTCACCAATTTCAATAGGGGCCGTCCTTGGGCCAAACAAATATTGTTTGGAAAATTTCATCTCCATGTAAAAAGTATCGATTTTCAAATTTCGATTTCGATTATTCAAATATATTTTGACTTCTGTTATGATTATTCAAGTTGTTGATCCTCTATGGAGTAGGTTCCGAAGGAATGGCTAAATATTGTCAATTTCGTATCGGACCAAATATATATGATATAAATATTGTGACGCCTCAGATTCGACCTATATTGGTAACTTATTCGACTTTATATAAGATATGTTATCATTTTTAGAAAAATCTATGATTTTTTTTCGATGGTTAAGACAGAAAATAGTATTGAAAATGGTGATCCTTTGTGGGTGGGGTACCAGCAGAGGTTGGCAGATATCTATCATCTTTTCAACAGATTTTGCCTTAGCAAATAAGTTTTGATTTGTGAAATTTGAAGAGAGTTAAATAGGCGAAATGGCATGATCCCAATTAATAGCTAAAAACCACGAAATGTCAATATTTAAAGAGTTATGGCGATTGTAAACTTTGCTATTTTTCCTCTTTAAAAAAATTATCACAAATAATAGCTAAAAGCCCCGAAATGTCAATATTTAAGGAGTTATGACCATTTTAAAGTATGCTATTTTACCTCCTTAAAAGTGATCAAAAATAATAGCTAAAAACCCCGAAATGTCAATATTAAGGGAGTTATAGCCATATTAACGTATGCTATTTTTCCTCTTTAAAAAACTGATCACAAACAATACCAAAAAACCCCGAAATGTCAATATTTAAAGAGTTATGGCCATTTTAAAGTATGCTATTTTTCCTCTATGTCTATTTCGGGTTTAATCTTTGTGGGGGAAGTACCAGAAGGAGTGCGCCGATCTCTACCATCTTTATAACAGATCTTGTGCTGTTAGAAATATTAAGATGTACCAAGTCTGGAATAGAATCAGATGTTAATTTCGCTTTTTATGAGCTTCATGGATATTCAAAATTTTAAGCCTTTGTGTGGGAGGTACCAGAAGGAGAGGACCGATGTATCCCATCTTTACAACAGATATTCTGTTAACAAAAATGTTTGTATGTGTGAATTATAAAGAGAACCTGATGCTCATTTCGGATATTATAAACGTTTTGGTTATTTAAGACTTTGACCCTTTGTGGGGGAGATACCAGAAGGAATGGTTCGATCTTTATAACAGATTTTGTGATGATAGAAATATTGAGATGTGCCAAGTCTGAATGGAATCGAATGTAAATTTCGTGCTTTATAAGCTTCATGGATATTCAAAATGTTGACCCCTTTATGGGGGAGGTACCAGAAAGAGTGGACCGATATATTTCATTTTCACAGCAGATTTTGTGTTAGTGGAAATAATGAGATATGTGAAATATGAAGAGAACTGGATGCTTATTTCGGATTTTATTATCGTTTTGTGGGGGAGGTACCAGAAGGAATAGTCCGATCTCTACAATCTTTATAACTTATCTTGCGGTAATGGAAATATTGAGTTGTGCCAAGTCTGAATGGAATCGGATATTAATTTCTTGTTTTAGGACATTCGCTGATATTCAAAACTTTGACCCTCGGTGGGGGAGGTACTTGATGGAGTGTACCAATATTTTCCATTTTCCAACAGATCTTATGTTAGTATAGATGGGATGTGTGAAATATGAAGAGAACATGATGCTTATTTCGATTTTATAATAATTTTGATTATTCAAAACTTTGACCCTCTGTGGGGGAGATACCAGAAGGAATGGTTCGATCTTTATAAAAAATTTTGTGATGATAGAAATATTGAAATGTGCGAAGTCTGAATGGAATCGGATGTAAATTTCGCGTTTTGAATATTCAAAATTTGGACCCTTTGTGGGGGAGGTACTAGAAGGAGTACCGATATATTCACACCAGACATTGGGTTAATAAAAATTGTTGGGATGTGTGAAATTTGAAGACAATCGGAATCTTACATCACATTTTATAAGAGTTAGAAATATTCAAAATTTTTGACGCTTTGTGGGGGAGGCACTTGATGGAGTGGACCGATTTTTCCATTTTCGCAACTGACCTACCACTGAAGCAAATATTAGGATTTGCAAGGTTTAAGCAAAATCGGATTGTCCTTTCTCATTCTGTGCAGTAAATTATTTTCTTTGAAAATGTGGGGGAGGTACCAGAAGGAGTGGAAGGATATTGTCCATCTCCGAACTCGATCTAAGTTTGACAAAAATATTACGATGTACCAAGTTTGGACCAAATCGGATACTCCCTTCAATAGTTATCATGCGCACCAGTCAGACCGACAGACAGACGGACGAACGGACACCCCTAGATCGACTCCAAATGTCCTGAAACGGATTTTGTTCAAAGAGATGTAGGATCTAAAACCGTTATTTCGATGAGGCACGTTTTGGGCGTATTGAATGGTATATACCCTCATCTCTATTCATATGGCTGAGGGTATAAATATGGGGATGTCTGAAATGTTAGTAAAGTTGTGTACATCCTATGATGTACTTGAGATTTATGGTTGTTAGGAATATTCGAAGTTTTGTGTGCTGGTAGTTCCAGAAGAGGTGAGCCGAGGTTTTCCGTGAATCATCCCAACTTAGGTCGAATAAAAATATTGAAGCGGATACTTCCTCTGCTTTCTGTGAGGGAGAGCATTTTAGAATTTTTAGCAGTCCACAAGGGAAGGGAGTGGATCGATATTGTCCATCTTCGAAGTCGGTCTAAGTATGACATAAATAGTAGGATTTACAAAATTTGAACAAAATTTCATACTCGCCTATTTTAGGCTTAGATTTTATTTTAGAAAAATATTTTTGTCTTTTCCGTTATTCTCCTTCTTGATGGCATTTTTTACAAGTATTTAAGGGGCTACGCATACACCCAATTCGGTGTTGCCAACTGTGGTGTCCTTGGAATTTTCTTATTTTTCAACAATTTCAGATTACATCTTAGAGACCAAATAAAATCGACAAATCTTGAGAAAATTTATATTCCCTCAAACCTTTTCTTCATATTATCTCACAGACCAATCGTATTCGTTGGAGATTAACTTCCTTAATTTATATTACAAAGCCTAACAGGGTACCCTTTCCCGGAATATTTTGAAAATAGGAAACATATATATTTTGAAAATCTCATTGGAAGAAAGTCTTCCCCTTGACCTCACATTGCAGACAACGTTGACTGGTTGGTAACCCTCGTAAAATTTAAAACTACTTTTATCTTTTTCTAAAAAAAAAAAAAAATTACCAACGGACTATTTATGTAATATACTGTCAGTACACATCACGTTCTCTGTTAAATTCTTAGGGTATTCTATTTTGAAATTTTTACCATGCTTGGGTTTGTTTCCTTTTTTGGATTTTGGAAAATATTTGACTCGTTTCTTAGGCTCAATGACGAAAGTGCCATTTTTTGTAACATACCTGAGGCCCCTTGGAAAAACCCCCTTCAGCCTTACAGTATGCAACAGGAGCGCTCAATTTTCTTCTCCGCCTTTGGCATTTCCTGCAGGGCCATTTCCACATGTTTGCGGGCCAGCCACGATTGTTTCTGCAGACGATTGATGACAATGCGATAGGCACCAATGATATCACTTCGTGGACCATTCTGGGAGGCTTGCATCAGCATTTCCGTTGTTATGCCCAGCTCTTCGAGTATCTGACGTGCCTCCTGTTCCAGCGGTGGCAACTTAGCCATATCCTCAGTATCAGTGGGAAACATTATACATGGCCCCGTCTCATTATCGTAATTCTTGAAGAGAGGACACTCGGGAGGCACTGCCGCCAAAATATTATTCCACTGCATCTTCTGTTGACCCAGCGTGCCATTATTGAGGTGTCGTTCATTTTCCGTTTCCATCGGTCCGACTTTCTTCTTTAGAGTGCCACATAAAAACGAGCGTTTTGGGGTATTGCTGCGCGACTGTTCCTTGATGGGTTCCAGTGGCAGATCTTTGGCCAATTCTATGGGTTGAAGGAAGTTATCGACAAAGAAGCCGTCTGTGCGTTTGGTGTTCATATTTATTGGCGGTTTATTTGTTAACTCCATGTAGCGTTCGCGCAGCGAATATTGTTTGCGCATGCGCCTCGATTTCGAACGGACCCAAAAGCCGGAACGTTTGGCAGATTTGGTGCGTAAATTGATTTCGTGTTGCATCAGTTCGGCGCTGAGTTTTGGATGGGTTATAAATTGACTGTTCAGCATGTCATCGATGGTGGGTCGACGTATTGGGATATGGATTAAAATACGTTCTGCAGGAGAAAGGGAGGAATTTCATTTACCGCTAAATAAGTTGTAATCTCCAAAATATGTACTTACGTATTAGTCTTATACATGGCAGACTCAGTTGACCCGGCAAGAGATAGTCACCCTTCAGTATGGCTGCCTTCAGTCCCGGTATTGTAGGCGCCCGAAATGGCATATTGCCCACCACCATAAAATACAATAATATTCCCAATGCCCAGACATCTACCGGTGCTCCAATATAATGATCATCCGAAAATAGTTCAGGCGCCGCATAGGGTGGTGAACCACAAAATGTATCCAGTTTTTGATTGGGGCCTGGAAATATATAAAATTAAGTAAAATGAGGTACAGGACTGAAATTCTTCCAAAAAATGCACGAGTTTTGAAAAATTAAAAACATTAAAATTAAGAAAAAATATCCTAAAAAAATTCCAGTTAGGAAAAATTAAAAAAATATTTTCAATGTTTGGTCCCTGAAAAATTATTTTTAAACAATTTAAAAATTATTAAAAAATCAACATTTTTTCGTCCTGGAAAATATATAAATTTTTTTTTTAAAATCCACTTGTGTTAGTCCTTAATTTTTTTTAATTAACGTCTGTTCGTCCTTTCAAAAAAAAATATTTAAAAAAATCAAAAATATTTCGTCCTTGGAAAAAATATTTTTTAACAAATCTACGTTTGTTCGTCCTTTGAAAAAAAAATATTTAAAAAAATCAAAAATATTTCGTCCTTGGAAAAAACATTTTTTAAAAAATCTACGTTTGTTCGTCCTTTTTAAAAAATCCAAGTCTGTCAGTCCTTTGACAAAAAAAATTTTAAAAAATCCAAGTCTGTTAGTCCTTGGAAAAAAATATTTTTAAAAAATCTACGTCGTTAGTCCTTGAAAAAAATATTTTTAAAAAATCCACGTATGTAAGTCCTTGAAAGAAAATATTTTCTAAAAAATCCACGCCTAGTTGATCCTTTGAAAAAATATTATTTAAAAAATCTACGTTTGTTCGTCCTTTGAAAAAAATATTTAAAAAAATCAAAAATATTTCGTCGTTGGGAAAAATATTTTTTAAAAAATCTACGTTTGTTCGTCCTTTTTAAAAAATCTACGTTTGTTCGTCCTTTTTAAAAAATCCAAGTCTGTCAGTCCTTTGACAAAAAAATTTTTAAAAAATCCAAGTCTGTTAGTCCTTGGAAAAAAATATTTTTAAAAAATCTACGTCGTTAGTCCTTGAAAAAAATATTTTTAAAAAAATCACGTATGTTAGTCCTTGAAAGAAAATATTTTCTAAAAAATCCACGCCTAGTTGATCCTTTGAAAAAATATTATTTAAAAAATCTACGCCTTGTTGGTCCATTGAAAAAAATTTCGTCTTTGGAAAAAATATTTTTTAACAAATCTACGTTTGTTCGTCCTTTGAAAAAAAAAATATTTAAAAAAATCAAAAATATTTCGTCCTTGGAAAAAATATTTTTTAAAAACTCTTCGTTTGTTCGTCCTTTTTTCAAAAAGTCGAAGTCTGTTAGTCCTTTGACAAAAAAATGCAAGTCTGTTAGTCCTTGGAAAAAAATATTTTTAAAAAATCCACGTCGTTAGTCCTTGAAAAAAATATTTTTAAAAAATCCACGTATGTTAGTCCTTGAAAAAAAATATTTTCTAAAAAATCCACGCCTTGTTGGTCCTTTAAAAAAAAAATTATTTAAAAAACCTACGCCTTGTTGGTCCTTTGAAAAAATATTATTTAAAAAATCTACGCCTTTTTGGTCCATTGAAAAAATATACTTTAAAGAATCTACGCCTTGTTGGTCCTTTGAAAAAATATTATTTAAAAAATCTACGCCTTGTTGGTCTTTTAAAAAAATATTATTTAAAAAATCCACGTTTATTTTAGTCCTTGAAAAAATACTCTTTAAAAAATCCACTTTTACATTTAGTCCTTAAAAATATTCTTTTAAAAATCCACTTTTACATTTAGTCCTTAAAAATATTCTTTAAAAAATCCACGTTTATTTGGTACTTGAAAAAGTATTCTTTAAAAAATCCACGTTTATTTGGTACTTGAAAAAGTATTCTTTAAAAAATCCAAGTTTATTTGGTCTCTGGAAAAAATATTCTTTAAAAAATCCACGTTTATTTGGTCTCTGGAAAAAATATTCTTTAAAAAATCCACGTTTATTTGGTCTTTGGAAAAAATATTCTTTAAAAAATCCACGTTTATTTGGTCTTTGGAAAAATATTCTTTAAAAAATCCACGTTTATTTGGTCTTTGGCAAAAATATTTTTTTAAAAAATCCACGTTTATTTGTTCCTTGGAAAAAATATTCTTTAAAAAATCCATGTTTATTTGTTCCTTGGAAAAAATTTCTTTAAAAAATCGACGTTTATTTGGTCCTTGAAAAATATTCTTTAAAAAATCCACGTTTATTTGGTCCTTGAAAAAAATATTCTTTAATGGTCCTTTGGTCTTTGAAAAAATATTCTTTAAAAAATCCACATTTATTTGGACCTTGAAAAAATATTCTTTAAAAAATCCACATTTATTTGGACCTTAAAAAAATATTCTTTAAAAAATCCACGTTTATTTGGTCCTTGAAAAAAACATTCTTTAAAAAATCCACGTTTATTCTTGGAATAAATAATCTTTAAAAAATCCACGTGTATTTGGTCCTTGAAAAAAACATTCTTTAAAAAATCCACGTTTATTCTTGGAATAAATAATCTTTAAAAAATCCACGTTTATTTGGTCCTTAAAAAATTTTTTTTTTTTTAAAAATCCAGGTTTATTTGGTCCTTGGAAAAAACATTCTTTAAAAAATCCACGTTTATTTGGTCCTTGGAAAAAATATTCTTTAAAAAATCCACGTTTATTTGGTCCTTGGAAAAAATATTCTTTAAAAAATCCACGTTTATTTGGTCCTTGGAAGAAAAAATTCTTTACAAAATTCCACGTTTATTTGGTCCTTGGAAAAAAAATTCTTTACAAAATTCCACGTTTATTTGGTCCTTGGAAAAAATATTTTTAGAAAAATCCACGTTTATTTGGTTCTTGAAAAAATATTCTTTAAAAAATCCACGTTTATTTGGTCCTTGAAAAAATATTCTTTAAAAAATCCACGTTTATTTGGTCCTTGAAAAAATATTCTTTAAAAAATCCAGGTTAATTTGGTCCTTGAAAAAATATTCTTTAAAAAATCCACGTTTAGTTGGACTCTTGAAAAAATATTCTTTAAAAAATCCACGTTTAGTTGGACTCTTGAAAAAATATTCTTTAAAAAATCCACGTTTAGTTGGACTCTTGAAAAAATATTCTTTAAAAAATCCACGTTTAGTTGGACTCTTGAAAAAATATTCTTCAAAAAAAAAAATCCACGTTTATTTGGTCCTTGAAAAAATATTATTCAAAAAAAAAAAATCCACGTTTATTTGGTCCTTGAAAAAATATTCTTAAAAAATCCACGTTTATTTATTCCTTGAAAAAATATTCTTAAAAAATCCACGTTTATTTGGTCCTTGAAAAAATATTCTTAAAAAATCCACGTTTATTTAGTCCTTGAAAAAATATTCTTTAAAAATCCACGTTTATTTGGACTCTTGAAAAAATATTCTTCAAAAAAAAAAAAAAATCCACGTTTATTTGGACTCTTGAAAAAATATTCTTTAAAAAATCCACGTTTATTTGGTCCTTGAAAAAATATTCTTTAAAAAATCCACGTTTATTTGGTCCTTGAAAAAATATTCTTTAAAAAATCCACGTTTATTTGGTCCTTGAAAAAATATTCTTTAAAAAATCCACGTTTATTTGGTCCTTGAAAAAATATTCTTTAAAAAATCCACGTTTATTTGGTCCTTGAAAAAATATTCTTTAAAAAATCCACGTTTATTTGGTCCTTGAAAAAATATTCTTTAAAAAATCCACGTTTATTTGGACCTTGAAAAAATATTCTTTAAAAAATCCACGTTTATTTGGTCCTTGAAAAAATATTCTTTAAAAAATCCACGTTTATTTGGTCCTTGAAAAAATATTCTTTAAAAAATTCACGTTTATTTGGTCCTTGAAAAAATATTCTTTAAAAAATCCACGTTTATTTGGTCCTTGAAAAAATAATCTTTAAAAAATCCACGTTTATTTGGTCCTTGAAAAAATATTCTTTAAAAAATCCACGTTTATTTGGTCCTTGAAAAAATATTCTTTAAAAAATCCACGTTTATTTGGTCCTTGAAAAAATATTCTTTAAAAAATCCACGTTTATTTGGTCCTTGAAAAAATAATCTTTAAAAAATCCACGTTTATTTGGTCCTTGAAAAAATAATCTTTAAAAAATCCACGTTTATTTGGTCCTTGAAAAAATAATCTTTAAAAAATCCACGTTTATTTGGTCCTTGAAAAAATAATCTTTAAAAAATCCACGTTTATTTGGTCCTTGAAAAAATATTCTTTAAAAAATCCACGTTTATTTGGTCCTTGAAAAAATAATCTATAAAAAATCCACGTTTATTTGGTCCTTGAAAAAATATTCTATAAAAAATCCACGTTTATTTGGTCCTTGAAAAAATAATCTTTAAAAAATCCACGTTTATTTGGTCCTTGAAAAAATAATCTTTAAAAAATCCACGTTTATTTGGTCCTTGAAAAAATATTCTTTAAAAAATCCACGTTTATTTGGTCCTTGAAAAAATAATCTTTAAAAAATCCACGTTTATTTGGTCCTTGAAAAAATATTCTTTAAAAAATCCACGTTTATTTGGTCCTTGAAAAAATATTCTTTAAAAAATCCACGTTTATTTGGTCCTTGAAAAAATAATCTTTAAAAAATCCACATTTATTTGGTCCTTGAAAAAATAATCTTTAAAAAATCCACGTTTATTTGGTCCTTGAAAAAATATTCTTTAAAAAATCCACGTTTATTTGGTCCTTGAAAAAATAATCTTTAAAAAATCCACGTTTATTTGGTCCTTGAAAAAATAATCTTTAAAAAATCCACGTTTATTTGGTCCTTGAAAAAATAATCTTTAAAAAATCCACGTTTATTTGGTCCTTGAAAAAATAATCTTTAAAAAATCCACGTTTAATTGGTCCTTGAAAAACTATTCTTTAAAAAATCCACGTTTATTTGGTCCTTGAAAAAATATTCTTTAAAAAATCCACGTTTATTTGGTCCTTGAAAAAATATTCTTCAAAAAAAATCCACGTTTATTTGGTCCTTGAAAAAATATTCTTAAAAAATCCACGTTTATTTAGTCCTTGAAAAAATATTCTTAAAAAATCCACGTTTATTTAGTCCTTGAAAAAATATTCTTTAAAAAATCCACGTTTATTTGGACTCTTGAAAAAATATTCTTCAAAAAAAAAATCCACGTTTATTTGGTCCTTGAAAAAATATTCTTCAAAAAAAAAATCCACGTTTATTTGGTCCTTGAAAAAATATTCTTTAAAAAATCCACGTTTATTTGGTCCTTGAAAAAATATTCTTTAAAAAATCTACGTTTATTTGGTCCTTGATAAAATATTCTTTAAAAAATCCACGTTTATTTGGTCCTTGAAAAAATATTCTTTAAAAAATCTACGTTTATTTGGTCCTTGAAAAAATATTCTTTAAAAAATCCACGTTTATTTGGTCCTTGAAAAAATATTCTTTAAAAAATCCACGTTTATTTGGTCCTTGAAAAAATAATCTTTAAAAAATCCACGTTTATTTGGTCCTTGAAAAAATAATCTTTAAAAAATCCACGTTTATTTGGTCCTTGGAAAAAATAATCTTTAAAAAATCCACGTTTATTTGGTCCTTGAAAAAATATTCTTTAAAAAATCCACGTTTATTTGGTCCTTGAAAAAATATTCTTTAAAAAATCCACGTTTATTTGATCCTTGAAAAAATATTCTTAAAAAATCCACGTTTATTTGGTCCTTGAAAAAATATTCTTAAAAAATCCACGTTTATTTAGTCCTTGAAAAAATATTCTTTAAAAAATACACGTTTATTTGGACTCTTAAAAAAATATTCTCCAAAAAAAAAAATCCACGTTTATTTGGTCCTTGAAAAAATATTCTTCAAAAAAAAAAATCCACGTTTATTTGGTCCTTGAAAAAATATTCTTTAAAAAATCCACGTTTATTTGGTCCTTGAAAAAATATTCTTTAAAAAATCTACGTTTATTTGGTCCTTGAAAAAATATTCTTTAAAAAATCCACGTTTATTTGGTCCTTGAAAAAATATTCTTTAAAAAATCCACGTTTATTTGGTCCTTGAAAAAATATTCTTTAAAAAATCTACGTTTATTTGGTCCTTGAAAAAATATTCTTTAAAAAATCCACGTTTATTTCGTCCTTGAAAAAATATTCTTTAAAAAATCCACGTTTATTTGGTCCTTGAAAAAATATTCTTTAAAAAATCTACGTTTATTTGGTCCTTGAAAAAATATTCTTTAAAAAATCCACGTTTATTTGGTCCTTGAAAAAATAATCTTTAAAAAATCCACGTTTATTTGGTCCTTGAAAAAATATTCTTTAAAAAATCCACGTTTATTTGGTCCTTGAAAAAATAATCTTTAAAAAATCCACGTTTATTTGGTCCTTGAAAAAATATTCTTTAAAAAATCCACGTTTATTTGGTCCTTGAAAAAATATTCTTTAAAAAATCCACGTTTATTTGGTCCTTGAAAAAATATTCTTTAAAAAATCCACGTTTATTTGGTCCTTGAAAAAATATTCTTTAAAAAATCCACGTTTATTTGGTCCTTGAAAAAATAATCTTTAAAAAATCCACGATCCTTGAAAAAATAATCTTTAAAAAATCCACGTTTATTTGGTCCTTGAAAAAATATTCTTTAAAAAACCCATGTTTATTTGGTCCTTGAAAAAATATTTTTTAAAAAATCCATGTTTATTTGGACCTTCGGAAAAAATATTCTTTAAAAAATCCACGTTTATTTGGTCCTTGAAAAAATATTCTTTAAAAAATCCACGTTTATTTGGTCCTTGAAAAAATATTCTTTACAAGATCCACGTTTATTTGGTCCTTGAAGAAATATCCTTTAAAAAATCCACGTTTATTTGGTCTTTGAAAAAATATTCTTTAAAAAATCCACGTTTAGTGGTCCTTTGATCCTTGAAAAAATATTCTTTTAAAAATCCACGTTTATTTGCTCCTTTGGAAAAAATATTCTTTAAATATTCCACGCCTCAGACAAGTCCTTGAAAAAAATATATTTAAAATAGTCAACGTGCTCTGTATCATATTCCAACATCATCATTTATTTATTTTATCTAATTCTATCATCTCCAAGACAAACTTTGACATTTTTTATTTCCCAGAACTGACAATGGCATTGCCATGTTCTACAAAATAGTTATATTTAGACGGGTCATTAACCTTTCATCCAAAGCAATAAAGTTGAATTACAAAACAGCTGTATGCGTGTGTGTGTGTGTTTTTGTATCTGTGTACTCACCATTAAGTAATTGTGTGCTAAAACCAAAGTCAGCCAACTTGAGACGATCCTCTGACAGGAGCAAAACATTTTCGGCCTTTATGTCACGATGAACGAAACCCAAACTGTGCTGTTGTGTTTGGTTTTCAGATGATGACCATAAAAGAGAAGAGAGAGAGAAAGAGAAAACAAACAAATTAATGAAAAATAAAAAAAAAACAATGTAAAAATTGTTCCTCTGCTACAACAGAGGGCAATTAGAAACGGACGAGTAATAAGTTCTCACACACATCTACATCTAGACAAACAAACAAACATTGACACTTTTTCAAAATTACAAAATTTTGTAACGAGTCTTGACTTTCGTAGAGAAGTCACGTGTGGTTATTATAAATATTATGTTTGTATGTACATAAATTGGATACAGATGTACCCTAAGCACTTTGAAATATACAGTGGACTCCGGATAAAAGAAATTTCATTTTAGTGGGAGAGATAAATTTTTGGGTGGATTATTTAAAATAAGGACAATAATTATTTTAATTAAAAAATATACAAAATCAAATTTTCTTTCAAAATTTTATACCACCCTTCCCTAAAATAATTTTCCTTATCCCAAGTCCCCTGTAAAATTGCTTAGCTATCAGAATAAAAAAAACTTGCCAACTTACCATATGTTTCACAGCCAGCAACAATTGTTTGAACAGCGGAGCTGCATGTATTTCACGTAATGGACCACCTTGGGTAATATGATTGTATAATTCACCACCGCGTATCCATTCGGTGACTAGATAGACACGACCCAGCGTTTCGACTACCTCAAAGAGCCTGCACACACACAAGCATACATACATAGAGCGGACACATAACAGTCGTTAACGGTTGCCATTGACATTTCCATATTCATGGGTATTCCACAGCCACACCAGAATCCATATGGAGTGTGGAGAGAGGGGGGGGGGGGGGGGGGGGGAGAGCAAAATAAATGGCAGAAAATAAGAAAACATTCGTATAAATAAATTAGTAATACCAGCACGTGATTAAATTTTTTGTTTGTGAGTTTTTTTTTTTTTTGATTTTCTAAAAGAGAAACATGTTTTAATTAATTCTCTGGATTGGTAAGAATTAAAATTGGGGGGTAAATTGATAAATTGGGAAACATTCTGTAAAGAGATTAATATTATGCTCTGAAATCAAATCATCAACCAATCAGAAAAAAACCAAAAAAACCAATCAATTGACATATTTTCATTATAATTTTAGACGACATTTGTGTATAAACAAAAGTTAGAATAAATATAAAAAAAATATTTTTTTTTAGTTTTCTCCTAAATGATGTCTTTCCAAACTGCTGTGAATTCATAGTGTGATTTTTGACATTGGGCGTATGATAAATATGAAAGCTAAAAATATTACGTATACGCTTCAGTACTTCATCGATATAAATAAAATTTTAAACATGTAAAACAATAGCTAAGTACGGCCGGGCCGAACTTATAGGGAAGGAACTTGAACAATTAAAAAAAATCTTTCAAAAAAAAAAAAAAAAACGCTTAAGTAAAAACCATTTACGAAGACGTGGACCTGCATAAGTAATTTTCTTCTACAGGCTGTAGTACCGATTCCGAATAAAAACAAGTAAAAAAGCTGTAAGTTCGGCCGGGTCGAACTTTGAATACCCTCAACCATGTGGAACGAATTGGTCAATTCTCAAAGACACTAAAATCCGTTAAAACTTCAGTTAAAATCTTAAAAATACCGAATGCAGCTATTATATTTGGGTCTATACGACGACATGAACCTGCGTAGGTAACATTTGTCATAAGCCATTACAATATTCAAATGCGAAACTTAAAAAAAATCGGTTATAATATCGATAAAATCAAAATACCGAATATCGGGAGGTACCGTTATATGGGGGCTATACGAAGACGTGGACCTGCACAGACTATTTTCTGTCGTAGGCTGTAGTATTCATTACGAACTTCAAATATCAAATTTGAAACAATTCTGGTGAAAATGTCCCTAAGACCATTAAAATACCGAATATCGGGAGGTACCGTTATATGAAGGCTTTACGAAGAGGTGGACCTGCACAAACAAATTTGTGTCATAGGCTGTAGTATCCATCACGAACTTCAAATACCAAATTTGAAACAATTCCGATGAATCATGTCGATAAAAAACATTAAAATACCGATTGTCGGCAGGTACCGTTATATGGTGGCTCTACGAAGACGTGGACCTGCACAAAAAAATTTCTGTCATATTCTGTAGTATCCATCACGAACTTCAAATACCAAATTTGAAACAATTCCGATGAAGAAACTCGCTAAAATCATTAAAATACCGAATATCGGGAGGTACCGTTATATGAGGGCTATACCAAAACGTGGACCTAAATGGCCCATTTTCAATACTAAAAGTCCTGCAGACATAGCATACATTTGAGCAAAATTTTATCAATCTAATTCAATTCGTTCGGAAGCTAGAGTGATTTCCACAGACCGATATACGGACGGACATCGCTAAATCGAAATACAATTTTATGCTGATCCAGAATATATATACTTTGTGGGGTCTAAAATGTGTATTTCGAGGTGTGGCAAACGGAATGACAAATATACCCTCCATACTATGGTGGAGGGTATAGAAAGACCGGATATTGGGAGGTACCGTTATATGGGGGTTAAACGAAAACGTTAACCGATATGAACAATTTATGAACCTAACCTGCCTACTGGCAAATTAGTACGTAAGTGTTCAAAATCGCGTGCAATTACAATTCGTTCGAAAGGTAGCGTGATATAATAGACAGACGGACTGACAGACACCGCTAAATCGACTTAGAATTTTACGCAGAACTAAGTTTTATAGAAATTGAAAACAAATTTGACGAGAGTTATCGTGAGCACCAATCAGATGGAGGCACACCGCTAGATTGATCCTAAAAATTCTGAAACGAATTTTATAGGTTCGGAAATCACTATTTCGATTATGTACAAATAGGACGTATCAAATAACCTCTGTAGCTATATGGAAGAGGGTGTAAAGAAGAGAGAGAAAGAGATAACTAAAATTATAAGTTTTCTCTTAAATTATACTCGTATCTTTTTCCGCTCTTTCTACCGGGGGTGTTCTGGATTCGTAATGTAATTGTTGTCACTGGGGCGTATGATAAACATTTATACTGAACATATTACGTATACGAGCTAATAGTCTATTTTTCTTTCTGTTACGGTATAAGTTCTTGCACTTTCTGGAATTTAAATGGCTTTACCTCGACCTTATATTTCAATATTTGCTGAATGGAATATTGCGATAGGTTCAGCTTACGAGCCATTTTTCGGCAACTGTGACGCGGGTTTCGTTCAAGTCGCTTTTTTACGTTTCGAACCATTTCTGCTGATGTTGTTGTTTTCTTCCACTTCCACTTTCTTGACGCCGGGCTATGCTACCAGTATCGCGGTGACGAACGATGGTACGAGACACAAAAGATTTATTCACATTTAAATGCTGGAGTGCTCTAACGATAGCCTCTTGTAGTTTTCCCAGCCAAATATAAAGAAATCACACTATCCCGGTCGAATTCCATCACGAATAACTGTTTTTCTGGAAAATTCTCATCAAAATGCTTTTGTACGCTTGTAGACAACACAATGAGCTATCACTGGAATAATTTTAAAAGCTATCGGACGTGTGGCTTAGAAATGACAGCAGTCTGAAGTTGCGTGCAGCTTTTTCATCTTACCCTGTATATGCCAAAGCATACTAAGGAACATCAACAATTTGAGATGTATTTCACCAAATCTAATATTGAGTTTTGAAAATTTACGGAGTGTTCTGGATTGATTTAGGGAAAATTGATTTAAAAAATGGGCCTCAATATAAGGGTAAAATCCGACTTCGACTTTCAAAAGCTATATTTTCCAATGACTTTTTCTGAAATTTTTGTTTTTTTTTGGAGATAGAAAATATTTGAAAGTTCATGAAAGGTATTCCTTATTTAGAATGCTTACAGAAGGCTTCTGTGCTTAGGAAACCCATAAGAGATCCTATTTGTATAAAAGACTCACATGGGGCCTTCTAGATAAAATACATCCATTCAGGGATTTCCTCATTGAACGTCTGTCCTAACGTTCCCTACAATAAGGATATCTAGTAATTCCACTTTCAATTTATTCTTCTTTATTTAATATTTTTTTATTTTGCCCCCTGATTCTAATATCTCGAGGACTTATTAAATTAGTAATACTCTTGTTAAAACTATTCTTATCTACCGAAACTTGTCCTCTTCAAAGCATTTCAAAAAAGAACTCTTCAAAAATTCGAAAGTGTTATTTATCTAAAAGAGAGAAGAAAATAGTTTCAAGTACTTATGCAATTACCACTGCATACACAAATATACACACAAACAATCCTTCATACACACACATACATACAGATGCATACTTACTGACCTTAAAATATTAGGATGATGAACACATTCAAGTGTGGCAATTTCACTTGAAAGCATACGCAATGCTTTGGCATCCAGGCCGGCTCGGTCAACTACTTTGATGGCAACTTTGTCTGTGTGGTTGACGGTCGGTCGGTCGGTCGACCAGGTCCAGCAGACAGCCAGGCAGTCAGGCAATGATGTAGAGAATTCCAAGAAGAATGCATCATGTCACACATGGATGTAAACCATAAATAGCAGAATGCCAAGTATTTTGTTGGTAGACCACAAAATGCAGGCAGAAGTGGTGCGGTGGAGGAGGTGGGAGAGAAATGGAAAGACAAAAATAAATAACACATGAAATTATTCCATTTCCAAGTCATCAACAATAGTTCGTTTTTTTTTTGTTTTGCTTCACTTTTTTCCGCTCTTTAATTAAACTAAAAGCCATGGTAATGTGCGTACCGGTTAGCTATTGGTTGATTGTATTTATAAATAATTTATGTCGTTGTTGTTATTACTGCTGGATGCATTTGGACTTACCTCGTGTTAGCTGGTGTACAGCTAATTTGACTTTGGAAAAATTGCCACGTCCTATATCGCCACAAAATCTGTAGAGACCAATGCGCCGGCCAACGGTTACCTGGAACCAAAAACAGAAAATGTAATGTTGTTTATTAAAAATGTAATTTAATTAAAATTTGTAATATGCAATTCTGAGAAATTTTCGGAATATAATTGAGGGGGTAGATATAAAGCGGCTAATTTTGTTGGAGGCGGTGTGGACAAGAATATTTTAAAACGTGTTTATGATTTAATTCCTTGAAGTCCTTTGTTTAAAAAATCCACGAAAGGTACATTTTAAACACTTTGTTCAAAATGGGAGCTTCATTCTCTTAATTTGTAGTTTATAATATAAACGATTCAAGGGCTTGAAGAATCTGTGGAAAAGTCCACGGTTTACTTTTTATATATCCTTATAATTTCTGTTAATAAATCCATAAATGATAGATTTGAAGCCATGGAGGAGTTATAAAAATTCATAAAAACGAGTAAAATAGTATCAGTTATGAACCTTGAGTTATGAACGTGACAGATTTGGACTATATCGACTACTTCTTGTACTTTATATGAGATATGTGCACATTTTGAAAATGGAAATATGCGTCAGGTAACAGATATAGCGGACCGAAGTATTCCATTTTCATACTTCATCTAACACAGATAAAAATATTGGTATGTGCAAATTTTGAAGGAAATCGAACATTCGCATCCAATTTATGCGAAATTATAAATTCCGACAAATTACATATTCATATCAGAACACTGGTTAAGAGAAATATTTAGATATAGCAAGTTGTAAAGAATCGCCGACTTGTTTCGCAATTTATGACCGTTTTAAGATGGCAGATGTATATCATCTTCACAACAGGTCTTGTGTTAGAAATTATGTCCGTATGTTAGAAATTTGAGGAGATGGGTGCATTTGGATGATTTTTTCGAATTCCTTGAGCGTTTTGTTTTTAAAAATCTTGGACCCTATGTGGGGGGGGGGGTTGTGTACCAGAAAAAATGGTCCGATCTCTACCGTCTTTATAAAAGACCTTTCGTTTATAAAAATATTGAGATGTACCGATTCTGAATGAAATCGGATGTTTATTTTGCGTTTTACGAGCTTCATGGACACTCAAAATGTTGGCCCTTTGTGGGGTAGGTACCAGAAGGAGTGGACCGATGTATTCCATCTTTTCACCGGACCTTGGGTTAATAAAATTATTGGGATATGTGAAATTTGAAGACAATCGGTCTCTTACATCATCCAAGTCTGAATAGAATCGGATGTTAATTTTGCGTTTTATGAGCTTCATGGACACTCAAAATTTTGACCTTTTTTGGGGGAGGTGCCAGAAGGAGTGAACCGATATATCCCATCTTCACACCAGATCTTGAGTTAGTAAAAATAATGGGACGTATGTAATATGAAGAGAACCGGATGTTTTTTTCGCATTCTTTGTTCGTTTTGATTATTCAAAACTTATGTCCTTTGTGTGGGAGGTACCAGAACGAATGGTCCGATCTCTACCGTCTTTATAAAAGATCTTTCGTTTATAAAAATATTGAGATGTACCAAGTCTGAATGGAATCGGATGTTAATTTAGCGTTTTAAGAGCTTGATGGATATTCTAAATTTCGACCTTTTGTGGGGGAGGTACTTGATGGAGTGGACCGATATTATCCATTTTTGCACCTGTCCTAGAACTGATTAGCAAAGTTGGAACAAATCGGATTATCGATTCTCTTTTTGTGCAGAAAAAATATATTTATTTTTCAAAATCTCGTTCATTTGTGTGGGAGGCACCAGAAGGAGTGGACCGATATATTCCACCTTAACACCAGACCTTGAGTTAATATAAATATTGGGATGTGTGAAATTTGAAGACAATCGGACTCTTACATCACATTTTTTGAGAGTTGTAATTATTTAAAATTTTGACCCCTTGGGGGGAGGTACCAGAAGGAGTGGACTGATATTGTCCATTTTCACACTTGACCTAGCAAATATTAAGATTTGCCAAATCGGATTATCGTTTCTCTTTCTGTGCAAAAAAATATTTTTTTTGAAAACTTAGAACTTTTGTGGGGGAGGTACCAGAAGAAGTGGACCGATATTGCCCATCTCCGAACTCGATCTAAGTTTGACAAAAATATTACGATCTAACCAAGTTTGGACCAAATCGGATACTACCTTCGAGAGTTATCGTGCGCACCAGCCAGACAGACAGACGGACGGACGGACATCGCTAGATCGACTACAAATGTCCTGAAACGGATACAATCACGATCTTAAGACGGAGAAGTGGAAAAATACGTTTGAAATCCTAATAATTCAAGGACTAAGAAGGGATGTAAAACTTTATTTAAAACCCCAAAAAATCTGGACGTAAATATTTAGAAACCTTGCTTCCACGATATAAGGCCTAGAAGGTGCTGCAGAATGGTTTTACAATCTAGAAATTTTTGACCTCAGAAAAACTGAAGAATAGACATTTTTAACGCAAATATAACTATAAATCGTTGAATTTTTTAGAAAATTTTTAATTTTGGTCTGAAGGCCTTGAAAAATTAATTTTCAAAAAAAAGGAACTCCGAAGAAAATTCCCAAATTTGTGATAAAAAACAATTGAATATTTTCATGATCTTTAAATGTTCCATTTTCTTATATATTTATAATGATATTTATATCATATTTTTTTTCCGATACGAAATGGACAATATTGGCCCATTCTTTCAAAACCCACTACATAGAGAGTCAGGAGTTAGAAAATTCATAACAGAAGTCAAAATATTTTTTTAAAAATCGAACATTGCCCCAGGGTATACATCTGTCGGCAAAACCATCCGATACGTTTTTACTTTTTTTTTTTTTTTGATTTTCTGAATGAATGTGAATGGCTGGACGTCTGGAAGAAAATCATGGCCTTTAAAAAATATTTTGAAGGACAACATACCAATGAAAAGTGGATTTTTTACAAACATTTTTTTAAAGGACACACTGTTCAAAAGTCTTGCAAAAAAAAAATTATCTATTCTGTCAATAAATGTTGGGCTTTCTTAAAACAGTTTTTTTAGAATCTGTTTACCATGCTACGGATATTATCCAAAAACCTCTTTTTTTCCAAGGAATGTTCCTCGCTTCATTTCCAGCGCATAATGACCACCAAAATCTCCGGATACCAATCCGTTGGAAAGCAAGGTTGTTTTTATAAAAACAACAATAATGGGATTAAGCCTGACCATTTTGCAACATCAAAATACAGTGATATCCCTAACAAACAACCCAACACTGTTGTTTTTTTTTTAATTTTTTTTGAATGAAAGGAAAAAAATGTAGGAAATAGCTTCAAATTTTAGAATAAGTTTGGCACGAATAATGGCCTTCAAACCCTGCGGTATTTTGGCTCATTCCCGGCAGGTAAAAAATAAAAATTATGGCGTTTGACTTTGTTGCAGTTTTTTATCTCACCCTGTATATATTCTGGATCAGCGTAAAATTCTAAGTCGACTTAGCGATATCCGTCGGTGCGTCATGTCTTTGTATAGACCCATATAAAGGTACCTCCCTTTATTCGGTATTTTGATGATTTTAGCGACATAATTTACCGGAGCTGCTTCATGTACTACAACTTATGACGGAAAATTGTCTTCGTTTAGCCCCTATATAACGGTTTTCATTTAATCGGTATTTCCAAATGATGAATGATTTTCTTAGAGAATTTCTGTTAAAAATGGCAGGCTTTCCATTGACTTTTTTTATATTTTTGAATTTTTTTTCGTCGAAGCCACTGCTCCTTTTAGCTTGTTCATGTTAAAGCAGATTATGTTTTTATAACAAAAAAAATAATAATATCGAATTACGTGAAATTCATTATGCATGTCTCCTTGAGCCTCTTGCAGGATTCCAGGAATTCGCCACAATTATGTCGAGTGTGCGGTTTTACAAAACGTAAACAATTTCAAATATGCAGATGTGAGCTAATATTTTCATTTCTTCTTACATCGTTCTATGGCTGGCTTCTTTTCATTACATTTTGAATTTTTCCATGGAACTTGGTTCATTTTCCTACGGTTTTTTTTCAAATGTATGCCAAGGTCATTTTCTTAAATATGAATTTTCTTTTTGGAAATTTAATATTTTTTTTTTTTGTATTTCAGGGGATATTAAATGACAACCTCCTTTACATTTTGGGTTAAGGTATAACGATTATAATCAGTAACCACATCATTGCGAATTTCAATCTCTCTCTTCATTTCCCTCTCTCTCTCCGTATTCCTCTCCCTCTCTCGTTTCATGCAACACAAATGTTAACCACGAAATTGTTATGCACAAATTAGCATTTGACGTGAAAATAATAATTTTGTAGGGAAATCTAAATAAGTTTTTCGCAGAAGCAACGGCAACCACAAGAAAATGAATATTGAAAGGGACCACCTCAAAACCGAATTGGGTGTGCATGTGTGTGTGTCTGGGGTTTTCATGCATTCTATGAAAAATTACAATGCCAAAATACCCAAAAACCATAGAAACCAGACAAAGCCAAACACCGACCGTACTCACACACACCAACACATCAACACGCATCCTGACTCCTCCTGAAACATGTACATGGCAGACATTATTATTCATTCATTTTGTAACCTCTGACACAACACAACCCGACTGACAAGTGAAGTGTCTTAAGGAGCCAATATCCTTACACATGTATGTACATACACATGTGTGCCAATGTGTGTGCGTGTGTCTCTGTTATTATCTCAGACTTGTCTGTGACCGATTGTTGCTCTGTTGTTGTTTTTGTTGTGGTTCAAGGTATTCATTGTTAGTTTATCTGTTGTAATTGAAATTGACAGTGATATGGATATGGTTATGGTTATGGATTTTTACCTTGGTTATTTTTGCTGATGAATATTCATGACAATGCAGAATAAGATTCAACACAGACACACACACACTAAAACAATTGTGCAAACACACACACACATACACACATTGAGAGGTGATTCGCAATGTATGCTATGTCGCAGATAAGCCATGAATTTCGTAAGTTTATTTTGTAGTTCAGTAGACTGAATAAATGAAAATTG